TTATAAACATGTTTCCGTACTCTCATTTTAGTTTGCCTCAACCAAATGATATGAAACTCACATACAATGCTTATTGCCATATAATAGAGATCAATTTTGAAATAAGGTGGCGTCACTTTTACCGTTTTGGAGTAAATTAATGTTCCTTTATAAACACAATAATTGCTGAATTTTTCGTTTCCGTTCTCTAACTTTAGTTTGCCTCAACCAAATGATATGAAACTTATACACAATGCGTATTACCTCAAAACACAGATCAAGTTCGAAATTGGGTGTGATCAACTTTAAGTTTTGGAGTTACGTCCCTTTATAAACTTAGTTATTGCTGAATTTTTATACGCTTGTCAAAATTTTGACGGGACGTATTATGGTATACAAATGTCGTCCGTCTGTCCGTCTGTCTGTCCGGCGTAAACATGTCGCATCGTAACTTGAGAACGACTTATCCAAATTTCATGAAACTTAAATAGTTGTTTATTATGATGGTCAAACGATCTGTATACTTTTTGGTGAAAATAAGATTCAAACTTTTTGAGTTACGGGACTTAGTAACTAAAACAGGTGTGTGTGTTTTTTTTTCACATGTCGCGCCGTATCTCAAAAACAATTTATGATTATTGCTTAAAACTTTACACACTTCTTAGTTATATTAATCTTAAGATCTGTATACTTTTTGGTGACGATTCAAAATTTTATTTTTGATTTATTGAGTATTTTGTAAAAAAAGGGGGAGGGATTTTTCACATGTCGCGCCGTATCTCAAAAACGATTTATGATTATTGCTTAAAATTTTACACACTTCTTAGTTATATTAATCTAAAGATCTGTATACTTTTTGATTTTGATTCAAAATTTTATTTTAGAGATATTGAGTTTTTTGTAAAAAAAAGGCGGGTTTTCGCATGTCGCGCCGTATGTCAGAAACTATTTATGATTATTGCATAAAAATTCACACACAAGACGACGGGCGTATCATGCGCTCATGGTGCAGCTGTTTATTCATTATCGTTCTCTAATTTTAGTTTGTCTCAGCCAAATGTTGTTAAACTTGTATACAATGCTTATTGCCACATAAAACAGATCAATTTCGAAATTGGGTGGCGTCACTTTTACCGTTTTGGAGTTATATGCCTTTAAAACATAATAATTGCTGATTTTATCGTTTCCGTTCTCTCACTTTAGTTTGCCTCAACCAAATGTTATGAAACTAATACACAATGCTTATTACCACATAATACAGATCATGTTTGAAATTTACTGGCTTCTCTTTTATCATTCTTGAGTTAAGTCCCTTTATAAACATAAAAATTGCTAATTTTTTCGTTTCATTCTCTTACTTTAGTTTGCCTCAACCAAATGTTATCAAACTTATACACAATGCTTGTAATATTACCACAAAATACAAATCAAGTTTGAATTTTGGGGGTGTCACTTTTACAGTTCTAGAGTTATTTTTGTTTACAAATGGAAAAATTGCTGAATTTTTCGTTTCTGTTCTCTAACTTAAGTTCGCCTCAACCAAATGTTATAAGACTTATACACAATGTTTTTTACCACAAAACTCAGATCAAGTACAAATTTGGCTAGCGTCACTTTTACAATTCTTTAGTTATGTCCCTTTATAACTTCATCAATATGATATGCAATCGGGGGCATCATCTGTGTTCCACGGACACATTCCCCATTTATGTTTTGTCTTTTTTGCCTATTATCTTGAAAAAAATAAAAGAGAAAGAGAGACATTTAATTTAATAGATTATCATCAGCACCAGATCTAGGCGTTTTTGCCTAATATCAAAAATACCATATTATAGCAGAAGGATACTTTAAAATTCAAAAATTATCAGCAAGACACGATTACAAATAATTTAACATGGTTGAATTCGTTTGACAACCCCTAATTAGAGTAAATACCTTCTAAAGACGATTTGGGGTGTAACACTCGTCATTTAGTATTAACATAAATATATCAATATAGAATAAGCTATGTATAGCTACAAGAGTAAATAAACAAGACTTACATAATTGGGATAAGGAAACAAGAAAAATGCTGTTATTTGAATTTGTTTCCCTTAGTATTCATTTAAGGGCAAAACGCCTATAAGGAGTAAAATGAAAATTTCGAATATGTTGATTTAATGATTAGTCTTGTTGGTAATTTTTGCTATTAAATTGTTCATTTATCCATATAAGTTTCCATAGAAATAATGATTTGTTATATTACTTTCTATCCATGTATTGCAGTTTCAAGATTAAGAACATAAAAGTAAAACAGGAGGCCCCTGGGAAACGATATTTATGATTCAACTGGTATTTTTTCGTGAAATTGATAAAATACTTTGGAAAAAACAGCATTTGTAATTCAAGTAAGAACAGGAGACACAGAAGCTAGCGATAAACTGAAATGTACATGAGTAAACTCATGTATGTGAGTTATTTAAGAAACACAATTACTGTTCTTAAAAGAAATTTGAGAGTCTAATTGAAAGAATGAATTACAACTTTAGTTTCAAAATTTCAGAATTTTTACCTAAAGCACCAATACAAGGATGGTTGCTATGCATTTTCTAATTATATGAGAATGGCTGGTAAAGTTTATGTTGACAATATTGACCCCTTAACTTTTAATCAGGATCTATATCATAGTTCGTATTAATCTGAACCCAACTATGTATGGTTGCTAGGTACTTTTATATCAAGTAAGGGTCGTTGCTAACAACTTAAAACATGATCTTGACCTGTGGCATTTTGCTTTCTTCTTACCAAATAAAAGCAAAATTTGGTCTAAACTCTTTTTCTAAATACTTTTTGGGTTTATTTGTTACAATTTCATAACAAAATTAAATAAAAAAGACTGAAGGTCAAAGTCAAGGTCATTAATAAGCTTTGACCTTTAGGACAACTTTCAGGTCATTGAATACACAACATGTCCCAAGTGATTATTATTTTGTATCTGTCACTGTTTAAAGCTATTTTAATAACAATGTCAAAATTCTTTTTCAAAATACCCAAAATGACATTTTTATGTTCCCATAGTAACCACCCTAGCAACTAATTTCCCAAACCTTTATTGATAAATTATTTCTAGGCAACAGTGATAGTTTACATTTATTATCTTAGTATAATTGGTTGTGGATGCAAAAGTGTAAAATTATGACATGCAAAATGCCTATAATTTGCCTTCTTGAATACATTGAAAACTCCACTATTTAAATCAGTGCTGCCCCCCTTCTTCCCCTTTTGTCAGAAATAATTTTTATCTTTAATCTTACTCATAAAGTGTTATATTTTAATGACCAAAGTCAAAGTATTCATAAAACTTGAAATGTGTGCATGATTACTGCTTAAAATGGGTCATTTTTGTTGGTCAAAATATGCATTTTTGAGGCAAAATCCAAGGGGACCCGTTACCATGGCAACGGGGGCATAAACAAATTTTTTGTCAAAATAATTCTTGTTTGTTTATCGATAGCTACCAACAAACCAAATTTCAAAAAAATCTGAGACTATGAGTGCCGCAACTTGGTTGGTGGTTACAGAGAGTTGCTATTAACATGAACGAACAGGATTGCACATTTTTGATAGTTAATGGTAGAAAGTTAAAAAAAATTCAACTGGCTTATTTTATGGTTAGAAGACCAACTGATAAGAAAACAGTAGATATTGAGGAAGAGGGGTGTGGTAGTGTAAAAAAGAGAAAAGAGGGAAAGATGACTAAACTAAGCAGAAAGTGTTTGTGCATAGTAATGAACATTTTGTCAGTGAAAAGATAAAACATAAATTAATTGGATGACAAGTACTAGTATGCAAATGTAAGTGAAAGGACGAAGGCTCAATGGAAAATTGATCCTTTATTTATATTCTCATCTTCAGAATTTTACAGTGCAATCATTTTGATATTGCGTCCTATATGGTTCAAATGTTGATTTGTACACTGTAATTCTTGGGACCTTCACCGTTTCCTTACCAAAAAATTCAATTCCCTTTAAATTACTGTAATTTTTTTTATAGCTTACAATCCTGATATCTTTGATGAGATTTTGTTTATGTTAAAAAGACACATTCAATACTTTTCACAGGAAGACCTTCCTATCGCTTCGCGTATTCGGATTATAGACTTTTTTTCGACATGTTACGTCCATGGTGGCCTTACTTTTTTTTCACGTAATACGCAATGATGTTTACATTTCCACTTTGAAAGACGATTTAGGTACTATTTGTATATAAACAAAGATATTTTTTTTCATTGATTTACCCTGATTGCTTTTGTAAAAAAATATGTGGAGGTCATTTACGGAAAAAAGTAAAAAAAAAGATTCATTTACGTTCTTATCAAGTAATAACACGTTTCAACTAGTTAAAACAAATTCATTTGGTAAAAGACATTTTATTTTCAGATTATTAAGTCTGGTCACTCATTGCCTTTTCTTTTTAAGACGGAAATAATCAACTGCCTATCAGAGAAAAACTTCCGATTAATATCACTGTTTCATTTCCGCCGATCAATCACCAGAACGCAGACGATGATAAAGAAAGAAAATGGTAAAAAGTCTGATTTATTCTTTCCAAATACTCTCTTTATTTTTGGTAGAAAAAAGTTATTGTATGACAATTGAATACGAATTTGGATGAGAAATCAGAAATCTCATCAATAATGACAAAAATGCCTCGGAATTGAGAGTAAGATTAAATATGATATCTTGTACCTGCTTAACGGCAAGTTTCTTTGTGTAATCGAACATGTCGAAGAATACGAACTATCCAATAAAAGTGTTATGAGCTGGCTGTTTCTTTATTGTCCCTGGTAGAGATTGTCGATCAGCTGTATTGGCGCTCGACTATTTGGCTAATACAGCTAACTCCGAAACTTTACTACGGACAATGCAGAAACAGCCAGTCAATAAAACTATATTATTAACCCTTACATACCCGTTCAATGACATTCTTTTGTATTTAATACAGACAAAAGCATTCTGTAGTATTTCTATTCTAACCTGAAAATGGTTCCTTTTACACCATACATCTGATGTCGGAAATATTCCATATATATTTGTCCTCCTACATGCACGGGAACGTGTACCACATAATCCATTTTGCGGAATACTTATATTGGAAGGAGGAACAGAGATCTTTTGAGAACAATCCTGGCCTACAAATCCGTCAAAACAGTAGCAAGAACCTATGATATAGTAATGGTATGTTGCTAAATTGCATATTCTGCAAACATTACATCAAATTAAGTCATACACTAAACGGTTTGGAATAAAAAAAAAACGATTTCAAAAAAAGATATACATATTATGCTATCAACATTGGTACTAGTGATAATATGTTTTGAACTTTCCAATTGAATCAAAGAGGTTGTTCCTTCAATGAAAAAAAGGGAAAGGTTATATTGATTTCATACTTATCCGTTTGTGCAGTTCAATTATCCCATACAGTTACATTTGAATCCAACTTAGAAAAAGTCATATTTTTTGACATTTATATTTTGATATATTTTCCTTTAATATGTTTCGTGCATTTGGCCTCTCACACTTTTTTGTTTCAACCACACCGTTTTGTTTCGATGAAGGTAATTTTAGAAATACTTGACGTGTACACTGATATCATTACCATACCTTATCGTTCCGAAATATGAACATGTTCAAAACAACAAAACATTTGTATTATTGAATTTAGTTAGAACTCCCATAGCAAAACATGTACAAGATATTACACTCTACACTTATACTTGACAATTGAATTCAGTGCAGGGTTTTATTTTGAAGCATATATTGGCTACGAATGGTTGAGTTGAGGCTCAACTTATATAACCCAAATAAATATTCATTTGAGTAAATAATCTGGAAAGCAACACGTGAATAAGAATCATTATAGCTGTATGACCAAAAAGGACAAAATTTTGTTAACAGAAATATTTTTTATGGATGGCCAATTACACAAATAGCATGGTTTTTATATATAAGACTAAACACGGTTTAATTATCTGAAGATTGAATTTTATGTGCTTGCTGCTTGCTGCTTCTGATGGTAATGTTAAATAGTAGTCCTTCTAAACTTCATCCCCTTTTGGCAACAAAAATGTACAAAAAATGTTAAATCATGCCAATAATTAGTAAATATGGCATTTTTAATACATCTATGCATAACTTAATGCTAATCAAAACCGAAGACTAAAACCAAAATATGTTTAATAAGCATAAGATGTGTACATTTCTGTTCATTTTTCCTTTTCGATTATTGCATTTGCTTACAAGGAAGTATACCTATAATATATACTGAAGATTTGATACAGCTGAACTAAGTATTATACTACGTACTCACATCCACTGCATGTTGTGCTTTCAAGATAAAGGGAAAAGTTATTTGATTTTATATTTCGTTGATCACTGCCTTTTGTTTCGGCTTTGTTGTCAGTTTCTGCAACATATTATTTGTTTTCATTCATTTACATAATTACGATGTAACAATAGCCTGAATTCATATTTTTAGTGAATATGGTACGGTTTCTGTTGCTTAACCCTTTCTCTTCCAGATTTAGCTTTTGTGTTCGATTTTAGATAATATCTTGTTTTCAATGAAAAATCATATTACCTGATGTACAGTTTCCGCTTCCTGAACAATTGTTTGAGCATAGAAAACTTGTGGCATATTCTAAGATGGTTTGTGTCCCATTGTCTGTTTTCATTATAGAGAGAGTTTCATTTCTATAAGCTTCCACAAGTGTGATAGTTTGCATTGCTCTTGCAGTGTCTTGTATAAAAGTTGTGTCGCCAGTTATCTAGGAAAAAGACCAATAAAACATAATTAGAATGATGAATCAAAATATAATTTGAGTTAGAATTCTTTATCTGGATGTCACACAGTTCACTTTTACCATTAATAATTCAAGGATCATTCAGATCAGGAATCTTTCGATTGAATTTTTGAAAACTACTTTAAATGTTTCAGTTATCTTACCCAATAATACAACACACATACAGCTAAAATAATATTTTTTTGTTATATCAAGTCGTCAATGTAGAATGTTCTTTTCTTTAAATAGTTTAGCCTCAAACACAACTGAAGAGACATTCATTTCAAAATGTGCATCTGGTGCATAAAAACAGGTGCAATTTATGTTATCACGGTAACATGCTGGTATATATTAGTCAAATATAATACCTTTGTAACGAGTCATCATAACACATTTGGCGTGCTTTTGATTATGTGCAGAAATTGTTAAAGGTTGAACATCCCTGGTTTTTAAATATTTAAGCATTTTCGACGAAGGTAAACCCAAAACGGTCGACTCGAACGCACAAATTTATTTAGAATTATTTTCATTCAAATGCACTTATCATTTTATCATATTTTCTGTGTCTCATTATCTATGTTGTTTAGACGAATAAATCATCTTATTCATGAAAAGTGTTATAGAATAAGAAGTACACTGACACTTCCTTCAATTTTTCTCAAAACCGTTTCGATATATTTATATGTTTTGATCTAGATATTTCATAAGTTAAAATAAAAAAAAACAATGTTTTTGGTAGGTTATTTGTGACTGTTAGTTTTCAACTTTAGATAATTTCTAGTCTGCACTTGAATGTATTATTTTATATATATTTTAATGTTTTGTTACTTTCCAAATTATCATCCTGACAACAAATCAGTAAATTATGTTTATTAGTATAAATTCTTAAGCTAGCGAATTAGAAATTGTTCTTCAAATCTTTATCTTGGGTTAAATATACTTATTGAAAAAGATTATATCACACTGTTGTTGTTGAATCCCTGCGTCTGGTATTTTTTGGGATAGACAATTGTTCGCTTATTCAAAGATAGAAGATACAAAATAAAACAATAGTCCATAAAAACAGAAAAAAGAAAACTAAAGATTGAGCAATACGATATCGACAAAAAAACCAGGGTAAAATCAAGTGAGGGAACAGCTGTTTCTGACCCTCTAATGACATCTGTTTCAGAGATATACTTATATGTAATTTACTTAAAGGTCATGTTTACCCTTGCATTAATTACTATCCTTAATGATATTCTCAAATGACGATTTCGTGAACTACCGTAAATAAGATAAAGTCATGCAGTGGAAGCAGGTAAAATAAGCAATGTACACACCACGTCTTCACCGAGATCACAAGAGCAATGTCCAGTCGATCTGGAGTCTTAATAATGTGTTCGGGTAGGGTGCTTTATCTATATGAGGACTCACATAGCTTTCATGTACATGTATATGACCGGATTGATGTACTTGTCTTGAACAAACTGAAAGCAGGGTGTATAATGAATAGTCACATTATATGTTGTCGAACAGAATATGCATGACATATTTGCAACTGATCGAAAACATTAATCAAACAATCACTGTTCAACAGTTTGCATGCAGACAACGGCATTCTATTGAATACCGTGTAGATCTTAACTTAACATGCGCCAATGGAGTGACAGCATATATCAAACCGGTATACCATATTTGGGACTACTGGCCTGATGAATCCATGACCTCTTACGATTAATGCAAAACTTAAGCTTAAGATCACCAAAGCTACTATCATTTTCGTTCTATCTAGCTGTGTAAAATACATTCTAAACTCAAAGTATAACATCGATATACCATGACAGTTTCCATCATATATACCAAATCATACAGTATTATTGCATATATATCATAATGAATTCGCCTTGTCTGCTCGTCTACCAGCCTGGCGTCCGTTCGTCAACCCGACCATTATAACAATAAGCTTTTGCATAAAGGAAAATGTGTTTGGTTTTGAGTTTTTTGTAATGGGTTATATATCTATTGTTTATATCTTTATGACAAGCCAAATCGGGTAGAATAAAACTCGAACATTTTTTCTCGTTGGTTCAAGCGTTGATATAATACTTGTATTTAAAAAAAAGTCACATTTAAGTTGACAAAAAACGTAAAAAGGAGAATTAAAAAGTATAGATGTTTGAGTAATACGTTAAGAAGGTTTAATGTTAGATGTCACCTTTATATCCATTATGCAAGTCCTAATGAAATCTATATCCGATGCCCCAGCTATATCTCCGAACAATTCGGACGGTACAACATGTTTAAGGCGCTCCTGACATGTTTGGTTTGCGCTTTCCTCCGTCCAACCATTTCTAAATTCGAGCACCTGAAATAAAAATGCTAACTATTGATAGCACTTGGCTATGGAAAATAACTTACAGAATCAGTAATGAATCTGTAAAAGTCAGTTTATTTGTAACAGATTCAATATAATCTGTGTATCTTAAAACCATAGAATAATTTATGAAAATGGTTGAAATAAACGTACTACTGATTTCAAGAGTTAAGTAACTGAACTAAGCCAAGGTAAAAAATCTTAATCAGAAAAATTCATTTGTAGTTTTTTTTTAACCTTATTAGTGTTTGAAAATAAATGTTCTAGAAAATTATTTTAAAAACAAATGTAAGTTTACTTAATGTTTGTTTCCCCAGAAGATGTCTTTTGTTAGTTTTTGTTGTTGGGTGGTTGTCTTATTGACGTATAACCTACACATAATTTTAATAATAATTCTACGGGCAAAGATGGTACTTAGAAACTGTGTTTCTTTTTATAGACGGTCAGCACGTTTGCATATTGTTTGATGTGAAAAATTGGGCATGTATGTACATGTCTATTTAGGAAGTCATAGGCTTAAGTCTAGAAAAAATATAGCAAAATAAGATAAAGTTAAATTTTATGAGGAGAACAATCAAATGCTATAAAAACAGAAAGGCAGACATCAAAATGGCTAGTTAATACAGAAAGACTAACAGCTGTCTACACTACATAGAAAAATTAAATCGACATGAGAATCATAAACAAACCGGAGTAAACTCAGATGCTCAAGAAGGAAAACCAGTTACTGTTTCACTAATATAAACCATCATATTGGTCATGACAAGTTTGTAACAAGTAATAAGTCAAAGCTGGTAATGCTATAACCGCGGATAGGAGGATGTAATCACGAATAAAACACATGAAACATATCCGTGGTTTTAATGCACAGAATTTCCAGAAACATCAATAAAATTATAATAGAGTAAAACTTTGTTAGAGATTTCTTCATCTTTACTCACATGCACTCTTGGTTTAATACCTTTCTGGTCAAGAACAATCCTGCTTATTAATTAATAGGAAACGCAAGCACTGGAATATTGTTTCAACGGCGAGAAATAAACTATACAGACACATTTGATTTCTCAGATCACAAATGAATACTAAATTTTTTGCACGAAGCATGTGACACGTGACGACATTTATATTTGAATTGGTGATCACTTTTCGACCATAGACAGGACAGTACACAAAGCATTTTCGTCAAATGAGATTATGACAAAAGCATATATATTTTGTCAAAACTATTCTCTTGGAAAAACTTATCGCATTGAGTTTGAACACTGGTTTCCAGTTTGCTCAAAAGTTGGATTTTGTTTGTCCATTCCTAGCAGGCGCGGTGTTTCGTGATGATGTTATTCATCCCTGTAATATTCAAATTTTATAAAAATAATACCTAGTATATATGACATGCCAGAGAATAATACTGTAAATTTAGACCACCACAGTTACCAATTTGTTTTAACTATACAACATTAATAATATGTTGAGACCAACTTAATTTTGTTCGTTAAAACCTTTCCCTTGGTGAAATATTTGCATCTATCAAACAGACTTTTTTATTTTGTATTTACATTGTATCATAGGTCAAATTTATTTGTTCAGTGTATGTTCAATGGTGTTAATATGTCCTTTGATTGAGTTAAGCTATTTCAGTTGATATTTTATAGTGTGTCTTTCTATGTTGTGATGTTACACTATTGTTTCATCTATGTGAAGGTTTTGTACCATTAAAACGTTTAAACCCGCTGCATTTGTTTGCACCTGTCCTAAGTCAGGAATCTGATGTTCAGTAGTTGTCGTTTGTTGATGTGGTTCATAAGTGTTTCTCGTTTCTCGTTTTTTATATAGATTAGACCGTTGGTTTTCCCGTTTGACTGGTTTTACACTAGTAATTTTTGGGGCTCTTTATAGCTTACTGTTCGGTGTGAGCCAAGGCTCCGTGTTGAATACCGTACTGTGACCTATAGTGGTTTACTTTTATAAATTTTGACTTCTTATATCTATTGTCTTCAGAAAATACTGGAGTATTTTAAACTAGAATTTAACGACCAATTTATCACAGATACAACCGCTTACAGAAACATGTCTTCAACAGTAAATGCCATAACAAAATTCAAATTTAACGTGAAATGTATCTTATATCTCATAACTTTATGTTAAAATTTTAAATAAGTCAGACAACTTACTTTCATTATCACACGTAACCTCCACCCTCAATTGTTTGGATTAAGGTCGTTTTTTATTATCATCCAGAAACCGAAGGAAAACTTTTAAGGTTACTAAGGACGTAACTCGTGCACGGTAAGGTAAAAAAAAAAACATTTAAATCAAACATGACCAGTATTTTATGGTCCGTAATAATGCTTTTATGGAAACCTAAAAAAATCTATTTTTAAAAGTTACTAAGGAGCATAACTCTCGAATGGTAAATGTCAAAACCATCAAAATCGAACTAAACCTGTATGTAATAGTTCATGACATCATGTGTTAGTTTCACAAAATTTGGCGGAGCTTTATTTTCACTATCATCCGGAAACCAAGGAAACTTAACTATTTAAGGTTACTAAGTAGCTAGAACCATCCAAATCAAACTATAGTTAAGCTATTTCAGTTGATATTTTATAGTGTGTCTTTCTATGTTGTGATGTTACACTATTGTTTCATCTATGTGAAGGTTTGGTACCATTAAAACGTTTAAACCCGCTGCATTTGTTTGCACCTGTCCTAAGTCAGGAATCTGATGTTCAGTAGTTGTCGTTTGTTGATGTGGTTCATAAGTGTTTCTCGTTTCTCGTTTTTTATATAGATTAGACCGTTGGTTTTCCCGTTTGAATGACTTTACACTAGTAATTTTTTGGGGCCCATTATAGCTTACTGTTCGGTGTGAGCCAAGGCTCCGTGTTGAAGACCGTACTGTGACCTATAATGGTTTACTTTTATAAATTTTGACTTGGATGGAGAGTTGTCTCATTGGCACTCATACCACATCTTCTTATATCTATATACCTTTCTTAATGATCCATGACATCGTCTTCAAATAAAAAAAATGGTTAAGGAGTATTTTCATATCATTCAAAAATCAAATAAAACCAAATTTCTAAGGTTTCTGAGGACATTATCTGTCGAAGGTTAATGTAAAAAACCATCAAAATCAAACATGACCTGTATTCTATGGTCCGTGATATTGCGTTAACATTTAAAAATATTTAGACAAATGGTAATTTAATCATCGTTCGGAAAACGAAACTTGTGACTAATGAATGGACGGACATATGCATCACTATATTCCCCAATCCAACATCTATGTCAAACCAAACAAAATCGAACAACTGATATTATATGGTACAAGATGTTGTGCTTCATTTTAACAAATTTTGATCAAGATGTATTTAAGATAACAACCCGAAACAAAAATTAAATCGATTTTATAAGGTACATTGTATCTTAATTTTTTTTTTAACTGTAAATATCAAAACAATCAAAATTGAACTTGAAATGTATTGAATTTTCAAAAGATTTTGTCAATCATCGATAGAATAACCATCCGAGAACCAACCTTGTGACGAAAGGACGAACGGACGGACGGACAAATTGACAGACAAGTGCAGTAATTTATACCCCTTCTTCGAGTCGTGGTATTAAAATTTTTACACACATATACTGTTATACTAATAATAGATGCAAAAAATTAGAAAAGATACCAAATCAATTCAAAACCATGAGTCCATTAAATATAGACAACGCCATGAAAGAAAAAGAAAAACTGAGAAAAGATAAATAACAATAACAAATCATGACAACAAAAGATTTAGCATCACGAACTCCTTATAAAATCAGTGTTGAACTCCGGTGCTTTAAAAAATTTAAACAGTTCTTGATCCATTAGTAGAACCCGTAGTGTTCAGTGAAATGACATCTTCTATAAAGATAAAAGTAAAGCGAAGAATAATGCAGCCTATTTTCATTTTTTGTTAAAAGATCATGTAGGTAGTTTGCTTATTCAAAGACAGGAACAAGTCGAGAAAAAAAAATGGACACAGCTGTTTCCCAACGAATGTCGATAGTCTGTTAAAACACCAAACATAACAAATAGGTTGTCAATATAAAGTTGTGGTGCTGCCAGTGAACTGTTTCTTACGATCAAAGAGTGTTTTCTTTTTTTTTTTAAAAGATATGATATGTTCTTTCCTAAAAAAGGATAGTTGCATCAGCGTTAGACATTCTGTTTTATCAAGCAAAGTTTGAGTAAATTATTTCAATCTCTCTTTAAGTTAAGAATAATTAATACTAGTGTGAAAAGTAGACAAATATATTTCTATTTGACAAAACATGAAATACATGATTTTGGAAATTACTAAGGACATAAAAAGGGGTTTGACATATAATGGCAGTTGTTTTTTGTAGCATAAGGAACGGCCTGGATTAAGCCTACGCCTGTCAATTATCATGGGAGGGCAAACTTGTTCCCCAACTAGTATGTGCAGCTTGCGAATTATTATTTGCAGCAAATTGTCTTCAGTCTTAAATTACAATGGCACTTCAGGTTCTACAACTGTCAGTTTGTCTTAAACATACCTGGCCTTCATGGCCAGTGTGACCTATTGTCATCATTTGACATCCATTGTTCGTTAAATTCTATAAGAATATCATCTGAAATTACTTGGCAAATCAAAACAAAACTTACTTAAAATCCATTCTTATCCATAGAGTATCAAAATCTAAAAGTGTGTCCGATGATCCTGTATGCCAACGAGCATTGCCGCTATTGCTTACACAAGAACATGAGTATTATAAAATGTAATAATATTAACGTACCTACTCAACTGCGCCAGATTCGCATTTCGACAATTAAAGGCCGAGGTATAAGTATTGGTAAAAAATCTAATACAATCATACTTAATATGGATGATATTTCTGTTGTGCCAATTAGTAATTCATTTGATATAGAAAATACATGTATAAAGAACTTGAGAAAAATAAATCAGATAATTAACCATTAACCATTCGTATTCTGTATCTGTATTCTGATTTTTTATCGACGGAAATAAAAGAGAGATATTGATGAAATATTTTACCAGAAAAGGTTGTAGA